TTGAAGAGCAAGTTTGATTACACTCAGTTTCACAATTACATTTTTAATTAGAAGTCTTCCACAAAAAAATATGTTATCGTATGTTCACAAGGTGTATTTCGTTCATAGTCATACATGTAGATGTCTATCAAATTTATGAAACATCGTAGACAATCATCACTTCATGCTCACATGTAAATAAATAATCAATATTCCACAAGAAATAATCTTGTCTAATCATTCAATCAAGTATAATAAATGAAATTCAAATGACATAATAATTAGTTTCATGCGGTTCTGAACTAGAATTTATATTTTAAATTACTAGATAAATGCAAAAAAAAATGATTAACGGTACTAATTTTATCTAATGCATACCAATATATCAGTCAATCGAACACCTTTTTCTGTAATTGAATATCTCTCACCTTTTTGCTTTTGATACACATGCAATCTCAACAATACATCTCTTCTTCGCTACACACATTCATACTCCAATTTGCTTAATTTTTTCACTTCCCTATCTCGTTATCTATTATGAAGGGTGAAGCATAACAAGCTGATTATTCATTAACGTAGCTATTAGGCACATGTATTTGTACACTTGGTATACTATTTAACATCAATCGCTCTGGTATTCTTTCTTGTGTATAAACATTTTCGAAACATATGTATCCATATAAGACATTCTAAAATGAGTTTTCACTTGAGGTTTCATCATATTCTGATTTGCTCTTTTTCATGAGAAAATGTTACAACAAATCATACCGTTCGAGAAATTGGTCACATTTCTTGATTGTCGATAATCGAACATTAAATAACTATGAGATAAACTAGGGTGTGAGTGTGGTTGTCAGCGTATTCGGTGTTTCTTCTACTCACACACACACGCACACCCACATCCACACCCTCAATTTGGATTTTTAGGACTAATTAATAAGTTCCTAAGCATTTTGAGATAAATCTCATATGGTTCTTCTGTAAATACATGATGTGGACAAAGGTGAGGGAGAGGATGTGGGTGTAGGTATGTTGAAATATCATCATAATTAATAAGTCCTCAATAAATAAATAAATTCCGAAAAACTAAGCCCTGGTAGGATACCTGTTTAAATATTGTTATGAATAAAAAATGAAATAAGTATGAGTCGGTTTTTGTCACAATAGATATTTTATTGATATTCAGTTCAATGTCAGATTTCTTCTCAAACTGTGCTCATGTTCCACACCATAAGCAATGCGCGTCGTTTCATGAATTTTTCCATCAAATCATTTTTTTTGTACAAAATTATCATAGTACCAGTTTTCTTTTTATTTCAAAAGATAAATTTATGTAGTGAAACAAATCTAAAGAACGTTTCTTATGTTTTTTGTTTATTGGATCTCTCTCTAAAGAAATAAAATTGAGGATCTTTATTCATCACACTCTAATATATGATGATTGATCGAACAACTCATGATCTCAATTCCGAAAAACAAATGAACAAATATGATGAATTTTTATCAAAATGAGTTCCTTCATCTTTATTTAATCAACATTCGAGATTCGAAAGAAAAAAGATGTCATACTGCATTAGAAGGGTGTGGGCGTGTGGGTAGGTATGGGTGTGAGTGTGAGTATCGGTGGGGCGTGGGTGGCAGTCTTACTCTCGCATACACAGGCACATCCACACCCTGTTCATTACTATTCTCTTCATCAGTTGTTGCATTCTTACTCCGGTTTACGGTGAGTGTGGGTGTTTTCTTCGTTAACTCACATTGACACACTCACACTACACGTCGTACTATTTCATTATACCAATGATCTACAATGAATAAGAATTTATTTGAAATAAATGCTGCCGTCATACTTGTGATACCCAACTATTTAACTTGTAAAAACCTAGTTGAGTCGAATTAAACATCGCAAATATAATATTTTGCTTTGTATGCTACGCCACATCAAGTCATCATTGTATCCTGCACACAACCAATCTGCAATAGAATCATATCCCTTTTATCAATTGATTGTATTCATGGAGTTGCATCTGGTACACAACGAATTAGAACTGATACAGCTAGTAGTACGAATGTTGACTTCAATTACTAAGACTTCGAAGAAAATAGTCAACCAAAAGCAATGTTTTTCTAAGTTATCATTATTTGTTTTAAGAAAAATAAACTCTTGAAAATAAGCTCAACTGTTTGAATGTCGAGTTCTGTAATTGATATAGATTTAGAACTTCACGTAAAAGAAATAAACGAATATGACGCAAAGATATTCCACTTCTATTTCAGAAAATAACAATGTCGAAAACAGCTATTCTTGAAATTTTTCTATTAAATACTTTGCTGAAATTCTTCCAAAATGATACCATTGTAAGGGCACAAGAATAAGCGGAGAAAAACTCTAATCTGCCACTGATTCGAATAACAAGTGACGATAAACTATTATACACACATTAAATATATATTTCATTAGAAATTTTACAAAAAAAAAAATAAAATATCACAATTGTAAATAAACTCTATTGTCTATTTGTTGGATGGTATAGCTCTGACACAAGTGTTCAGAGTCAATTATATTTTTTAAATTTTCGACAATGTCCATACTTGGTGTTGATATGTTAAGACATAGGGAAGATAGGTTAGAAATGCATTTGATATTTTTCATGAAAATAAATCGTAGAACTTCTTCAGGTAAGATACTATTTGTACAATCTACTTCGAAATGTTTCATACGAGGACAAAGATCAAGAAGAAATTGAATTTGTGCAAGTTCATTCATTTCCTGAAGTTTAACTTTAGTAATTTTGTTGTTATTTGATAACAAACGAAAAATTCTTGTTTCTTCAACAGAAAAACATTTTGACTGTATCATTGGTAAAGATAATATTACTAATGAATCGAGATTAGGTAAATACTTAATGAAGTCAATTAATGTGGCAATGTAAATTCCGCTGAGCGTAATATTTAAACAAGTAATCGGTAATACAACTAAAATTGGACCGATCATCTCAATAAATGGTTCATCATCATCTGTCGTAGACAAATCAATAATGTTTAGTATCATAGAAGATGCAACAGAATTATGTTTATTGGAAATAATACTATGTTGTGTACTATTTTCATAGATGTTATCAATTAATTTTTCATCATTTGTCTTATTTGTTTGAAAATTGTCTTTAACTTTCCTAAAAAATATACAGAAAAATATTATTTACAAAAAAAAGAAAGATTTATTTCAATAAACCTGTATGAAAAAATTGAATAAACAATAACATTATCATCCCAATCATCTGTCTTAATAGAAATTTTAAAAAACCATTTTCGTTTTATCCAAAATGACGAATTAAATCGATTAATTAATTCATGATGAATAGTTGTTTTGAAATCTTCATCAATAAGCTCATTGTATTGAAATTCAAATGTATCTAATTGAAGTAAATTTTGTGAAATAATTCGTTCCCATCGATTAGCATCCAAATAGCTCACATCTTGGAAAGTATTAATACGTAATACTTGTAATTGAGGTGATACTTTGATGAGAAACATTTCTAGTTCGTCATATTCAGCATAACACTTAGTAATGGATATACGAGTTAAACTTGTTACTATATTAAGTGTATCTTTTATGATGTTTTTCTTTGATTCATTGACTTGCTGACAAGTTAAACGACAGAGTTGAGGTGTATATGAAATTATAGCAATTAATTCATCAAGAGTACAACAATGATCAATAACCAGATATTTAATACTACTAAATTGATGATTAGTAGCTATGGGTAGAGGAATAAATGAATCAAGTGAATTAAATGACAATTTATTGTATTTTAACATAGGTAATTTGAAAATCATTTGATATATATTGTTAATCTGTTTGAGATCATCATCGTAATGAATAATTAATGAAAAAAGACGAGGCAATGAAATTAAATTTATTAGAACAGATTTGAGTTCATTTGATTTCATATTATCTAACACTAATGATTCAAGATGACTAAATGATGAATCAATGTTAAATAATGTAAAACTTGAATTAAAAAGATAAAAATTAGACAAACTAAGTGACATAATTCGATCTTTGTTTCGAGAGATAATGGAAATAGAACGATGTTGTACGATAGTTTCTGAATGACAACGAAAATCAATTTTTAGTCGAAGAGATGAACCATTGAGTAGAGCATGAAAACGATTATTAAGATTTGAAAATGCATTAAATAATTCACAACCATCAAGATAATCGAAGATCTCATAGAAAAGTTCATTTGATAAGTTTTCTAAACAATTAATATGTTCTCTAAAAAAAACAGAAGCAGAAAAAATAAATGAAGCTAAACGTATATATCATGCTTCCTACCTGTTCTTGTATATTGCTATATAAAAACAAATGAATAAATAGATTCATTATATATTAGTTTGAATGTATGCAACTTACTTCTTAGTTTTTTCATTTTTTCATAAGAAGGTTTACTATTATTGATATATCGTTTAACTTGAATCATTTTTACTTGAATGTAGAGTATTATCTGGAAAAATTATAAATAATTTTTTTGACTATATTTATTATTGACGATTTATCTTCTTATATAGTCTTGAAGCATCTGTCGTTATGTTGCTGTTTTACTTTTCACAGATTTATTTCGTTTGCCACAAAAAAATATACGAACGCGTGCACCTGTCTGTATTTTACGTGAGAGATATTTATAGACCAACTAGGCTCGTGCTTTTCGTTTTCTCTCCATTGACTCATTTACACTACCATTTTTGTTCGTATCTAGATTATAGCGATTGTCGATTTACTTGATATGACGCAAAAAAACTAGGAACTGATATTGAAAAAACCACTTGGACAGGCTTCCCAAATGATAATGAAGGGTTTTTTAACGATTATTTAGATATCATCTATTTAATATTCTATGCGGTCAAAGTCTACTCAGCTAGAAGTGCGATCAAACGAATCGTTTAAATATATAGTTCTACTTCAGCATAGTTGCAGTGCCGTATTATTATTTTTATTATTGTCTTTCTTCAAAAAAATCTTGATTCTCTTCCACGAAAAAAAGACGATCAATTCCAGAGGTGCAGAATCTTCCTCATGCGCCCCCGCGCGGGGAGGGAAATTTTTTGAAAAACTCAAATAATAGGGAAATTTTGGAAAAACCCACTGGCCAAAAAAAAATACAGTGGGGAAATTTTTCAAAAAACTTTTTTGCGTGGGGGGAAATTTTTGGATTTTTGGAAAATTCTGCACCTCTGATCAATTCTTACAAAATTTTTCAAATTGACCTCATGAGTCATCGACTTACGTCACTTCTGTTGATTTTGAAATATTTCTATGCTTTATCTAATATATTATTGTTTTTGTAAAAGACTAAACTATGCATTTACTTTTTATAATAGTTATGTATGTGATAGACGTTAGATTATGTCAAACAAGTAAGTATCCACCAACTGAAGAAAATAGTTAATAATTTACGATGAATGTCTTCAATGACGATTGTATATTTCGGTGATATAAGTCGTCTTATCATATGAATCATATAATTTATTAATCAATACAGAATAAAAAATCATTTGTCCATTTTGAATGAAAATAAATTAATAGTTTTCATATAGTATTTCTCAGCAACGATAAGATTTTTGTAACTTTTGTATCATCGTATTGTTTAATTGAAAACTTCGAAAATATGATAAAAGATATGATCTAATATATTTTTGTTTCTAGGCTGAATCATAAATCAATGGTAATTATATCTCAAGATCAATCAGAAATCGAACGTCTTCAACTGTAGTTGTTTATTCAATATGCGCATTTTTAGTTTCATTTAATTTTGAAACATTAATTTTGCTTTTTGGGAATAGATAAAAATTTTTTATACACCAATCCAAAAGATGAAATTATGATAATTTTTTAGCTTCAAATTCAGATTGAAATTTTGATGTTTCTTTTTATGTAATAAAAGATATTTATAATGTATGATGGCTGTGGACATATAGAAATTAAGACTTTCTACAAGTAAACCTATCTGAAAAGGTGACAATTATTATCAAATAGAATTGATGACTACTTTTCGAGCTTTGTCAAAGAAATCTAGGGTGTGGGTGAGTGGGAATGCTATCCAGAGATACAGAATCTACCGGTGCGCGGGAACGCACGTTTGGGGAACCTTTTGACTCTGAGGAAATTCTTGAAAATGTCGAGCTCGGAAAATTTGTCGAAGAATGTCTTCTTCTACGGAGACATAATAAACTCAATCAACGATTTCTCTAGTTTATTTGTTCTTTCTTTGTCTATTAATTTATAGAC